GTTCTGCCGAGTCATTTTCTTTTCTTTTCAAACCAGACTTTTAGCATAGATAGATAAACCAACCCGTCAGATAAACACAACAAGCATGGATCCCATTGAGTACGATGGACGTGAGGGGTGCTAAAACATTCCCCTTGCGTAACCGACTCCCGAATCCAAACATTGGTTGTGATGACCTTGTCTTATACCCTTTCGTCAAGATTTTTACGATCGTTTCCTTTCCCTTTCTGTGGGATAAATAACGAAAGGTGGCGACTCTTCTGTTTTGCCGGCACCTTATTTTCGCGGTAGCGACACTTGTCATACGGTAGAATGATGAGGTAAAAAGACTATCTTGGAGTATGATGTGAAAGGATTGGACAAGACTGGAGTGGATCATTGGTTGACTGCATGAAAGTCTGGATTCTGATGAGAAGATTCACTAGTGAAATCAGAAGCTTTCTAACTTATCATATGGGAGAATGATGAGGAAAAAATGTCTTGGATTATGGGAGGGTCTATCTTGTACTCAGCCTAAGGTCAGAATACTTGTGGAGAAGTGGTCTCTTCTACTACAAGTAACTCTAGGAAGATGTGGATCTGCTTGGTACCTTCTCACTGTATGAGCATGGAGTTGGTCATGAGAGATAATGTGGTGATCTTGGAGCATCGGTTGTCAAAGATAGGGGAGAGATTTTGGTTGATGGGTGTACTATTTCCTTATAGTGAATGCGTTCAGCATGTGTGTTGAACAGAGAATGAGTTCTTGAAGACATGAAGATGCGTCTTATGTTTTCCATTCATGTGCACTGGTTACCCTTGATATGGGGAGCTATACTTCTATCTAGGATGTGTTTCTGCAAAAGTGCAGTTATGTACCAAGATTGTTTATGGTTTCAAACAGTTTGGGATGTTATAAAGATAGAATATCAGACAAGATGTTGTGACATTGGGTTACTGCTCCAAGCTCATGGTGAACATGTCAAGTGTCTTCCTTTTGGTTCTGCCCTTAGGATGTCCATGGATCCAGTCAAGTTTGTAGGCCTCTATCCAAGTGTGTCTGGTGAAGATAAAGATCAAGACATCATCAGCTTTGATCATGAACAGATGGAAGGACCTTTACCCTAACATCTTGGAGATCTTACAGATAGTTATCTTGTATCTCCTCTGCTATCTGTGAATCAAGGAATGAAAAGCTGCAGTGTGTGAATATGAATATGATGAAGAGAGTGTTCATGTGATTGGGTTCTCTCTCATAGGGGGAATACTGCTTATGTATGATAGGGGGAGCTGTGTACCTGTCTAATGTGCAGCTGCATTACTTGTGTTGGTATTATGCTAATATGAAGCTGAGTACAAAGAGTGATGAAGCTCAGGCAAGCTTGTGTCCTTGGAACATTGATGAGAATATGTGTGTCTCAAATTGGGGATTTAAGATCAATTGTTACGTGTGGCAAGTATTTAATTGATTATCCCTTAATTAGTGATGACAAAAGTGTCACTCCTTAAGGTGCAGCTTCAGAAAAGGCAAGAACTCAAGATCCAATGACTAGATCTATGAGGAGTTCTTACTGTGGAGGAGTGTTTCTCATCATGATGAAGCCTGGTTGTTTGTCCCAGCTATTGATGGATCTGGATAAGAGGAGAGGTAGTCCATGCCTTGGTGCTTATAGCCTGACTGATAAAGCAGGATATTGGATGAAAGAATTATTTCTTAAAGTGCTTAAGAATAATGTTTGTAATGTCAGATAGGGTGTCTGAACATTGTGTCTCTGAGGAAGCTTCATGAGAGTTTAGTTCTCTCTATGTTTCTCTAAGAAATGTAGTGATCTGTGAAGTTGCTGCTGTTGTTCTCCTCTGAGATCTGCAAGAGGATTTCTGTGGAAATGGTAAGTCATATATGAATTCTCAAGGAGTTGTAGTGTTGCTGCAGTGGTGTAGTATTCATATTGGTTGGATCAAGCAGTCTGTGAATCTCTTGGGAGATTGTGAGATGACTGGAGGATAACTGAATCCTGCATTGAAGCATGATGCTTCTGAATCAGTGTGTGAGTTTAGCTCTGGTTGATATATGTATACTTACTCCAATTTTTGTCAAGTTTTGACTAAACTAAGGGGGAGTAAAGTGTTGTTATTGCTTGCTGGATGCAACTATTAAGGGGGAGGATGATAGTTTGTGTAAACTACTGTTGCTGCCCTGATAAGTTGTTTTAGCCAAAATTTGCCAAAGGGGGAGATTATTAGTTCCATGGTTCTATGATATAGAATTGTCCATGGTTCTATGATTGGCTAAATTTTGGTAAAACATGATCCTGCACTGATGTTAAGCAGGATGTTATGACATCTCCATCTGCTGTGGTGAAAGAACTGTTGTGGAGTGTTTTAATATGAATGTCGTGACATCCATCACGGCATCCATCTGTTGTCATGACAGAACTAATGTCATGTGTGAGAAACAACAGGAGTAGTGGTGTAGCAGGAGCTAGCAGGAGCTGATAACAGAACTGTTGTCATGTGTTGTAAACAGGATGTCATTACCAATATCATGACATCTGGTGCAGCAGGAGCTATGTGCAGCAGGAGCTAACAAGAGCAGGTGACAGAACTACTGTCATAGATGCAGAAGGAGTTGATGATAGAACTGTTGTCATGGATGTCGTACTGAATGTCATGACATCATGTCTGGTATAGCAGGGGCTTCTATGGTATATCTCTTGACATAAGTGTTTTGGTCCTGTTGGATATTCCACATCAGTATGTACAAGCCAAAGAGATTTGTTAGAAACAAAGTGCAGATTTAATGGGTGTTCACAAAAAGGATCGTTGATACTTTTTAGGGAACTATAAAACATTTGTTTCTACTGCCATGAAGAAGATTCAGCAGGGCAAGCTGGTCAACTAAGAGGAAGTAAAATTGAATGTCATACTGAATGTCATGACATTGATCGTATGACATCAGACGTGCAGGGGTTTTTTTGTTATAATACCTGATATATCTCAGGCTAAATTTCAAGAAACCTGTTAGGGTTCCTTGGTCATCTCAGACGAGATTCTAGGCAGAATCATGACCCAATTTGACAGCACCTTGATCAGTGGAAATTAGGTTTACTTTGTTAAACCTAATGTTTGTTACTTTGGAGCAGCCCAAGCCCAGTCTGCATTGCTATAAAAGGAGGAGCAGAAGCAGAGGAAAGCAAGCGCTCACATCAAGAAAAACCAGAGTGTAAAATAAAGGTCTAGGGTTTTAGAGTCCCTTGTGTGTAAGTCACTCTTTGTATCTTTTGATACATTGTGGTAGATCTGTTTGTGAGTGAAGAGGTTTGCTCTTCACGTGTGTCTAGGAGTCTTAGGATTCCTTGTGTACCAAGCAATTGTAGGTTGTATGATTGCTCTGGTTAATTGTATGAACATGTGTGTTCATTGTGTCACTCAAAGCTTTTAAGCAAGAGTGTGTCTCACTTGATCAAAGCTGTGAAGCAAGATCATGGCGTGTGTTTGGAGTGTATCTCCATAACTGTTTTGTAATTGTGTATCACTGTGTTGTGATTGAGGGGGAGTGAGTGGGTATACTCAGGTCTACAGTGTCTCTAGGTTGAAGTGTCATTGGGTAGAGATTAAGTGAGAAGTGCAAACTGGTTGTTTGACTTTGAATTGATTATGCTAATAGTGAATTTCCTCCCTGGCTTGGTAGCCCCAAATATAGGTGATGTTGCACCGAACTGGGTAAACAATTATTGTGTTATTTATCTTTCAGCATTTACAACTCTGCACAATTTAAATGTTTAGAGGTCATGACGTTGGTCATGACATTGGCACAATTTAAAGAAATTTAAATTGTTCATGATCTGTCCTCGTCCTTGTTTCAGCAGAGATCAATGTTCTTGGGACATCTGAAAACTGCATACCAGAATTTCACTTTTCATGGCTCTCATGTCAGCCTTGTACTATATATTGTCATGCACAAGATAATCCTATTTTCAATCCTTCCTCGTCTAATACCTATAAAACCTTACCGTGTTCGTCCCCTCAGTGTTCTTCTCTCAAATCTTCAACACTCAATGAACCGAATTGTTCAAAAGTATCTAATGCATGTGTCTATAAAGCAAGTTATGGTGATTCATCTCTCTCACTCGGTTACTTGAGTCAAGACGTGTTAACCATAACATCGTCAGAGAGACTACCGAATTTTGTATACGAATGTGGACAGGATAATCAAGATTTGTTTGGAAGGATCTTCAATGTTTTATGACCCTTCAAAAAATTCGATAATTGCAGCTGTTGGAAGTTTTTAGCATAGAAGTTAGAAGTAAAAACACATATCCAAACCAAGTAGGGCTCATGGAACATAATTTGCAGCTTATCCTCAAAGATTTTCCATTCCATGTTGGAATGCAAATGACATATAACACAACAAAAAAGGTTCAAGCAAATGAACTTAGAATCAGTATAGGGGTTTCAGAATATTATCTCACTGATTATTTATTGGAACATAATCAGTATAGGGGTTTCGGAATATTATCTCACTGATTATTTATTGGCCTTATGTTCCGAGTCTTTCGCTGGACGGATGTTGATGTTGTGGGTTACGGGATAGTTGTATTTGACACACCTACTGATAAAAAGTTACAGAGTACAATATAGATGTTTTAGTGTTTTTAGAATGGCATCCTTAATGTTGAAACTGAATAACAAGCTACCAATTATGTTTATTATGTGATTTGGATAACAAGTTCTGTTTTTAAGTTGTCATTCTAATGATGAGTTTAAAGTATTCAATTGTGATTCATCAATTTTGAAACTAAAAGACTGTAAGTGTAAAAATTCTGCTAGTATTTAATAACTTCTATATGCTTCCTGTGCTGATATAATGGATTTTCTTTATCAGAGGTTGAAGTGAAACATACATTTCACTAACTCAAAATTCTGAAACCAAAACATGCGACAAACAACGCATCTTCATAGTCATTCACAGAAAAGCAATGGTTAACCATTTTCAGAATACACATCAAATTAACTAAAACTCATACCATTTTAAGTTCTTGCGCCATTAAGATACAGGGCCCGCACCACGTCGAGTAGAAATCAATAACAATAGGAACATTTCTTTCTCCTTTCATCAGCTCCTGAATTTCCTCAGCTGAAAACTTTTTCTGCAAAACCCAAAACAAAAACAATCAACGAAAAAAGAAAGATTCAATTTTTTTAACCTAGGATTCATGAGAAGAAAAAAGAGCAGAAACCCAAAATTAATATGAAGGAAACAAAGGTATTGAAGGTACCATACCACGAGATAGTCATCTCTGACATGCTTTCCTTGAGGTGGTTTGCAGAGCAATTTCCTAGGGGGTGTAGAGACAAAAAGAGGTGTATTGTTGAAGTGAGTGGTTGTGGTGAGAGAATGAGGTGGAGATATATATAGAGGTTTGGATGAGAAGGGTGAGAGAGTGGATAACAGTGGAAGAATGTAGGAATGGAAGAGAGCCATGGATGAGTTTGGAGAGTGTGAGGAAGAAAAAGAGGGTTTTTTTAATGTCATTCTTATGAATCCAAAAGCTAACATAATAATTAATTAAATAAACTTACCATAAAGAAAAAAAAGAAATAATAAACAACTAAATCATTCAAACGAAATAAAAGGGGCTGTTGGTCATCAGGGTTTTCAGAACCCAACTTCTCCTTCCTTGCGGTGCATGTTCTAGTCTCCTGAAACAAAAAAAAAGAAGATTTCACAAAAAACCAAACTTCTCCTTACCCAAACTAAACCGGCCAGTGGTGTCTCGTAACAGAGCGGTAACAGGTGGATTGCCCGCCGTGTAGTGATGAATGGTGATAGCGGTTTCCAATCGTGGGGGTTTTCCGGCCGACGATATGATTCCCTTCCTCGCGGTGGCCGATGACGAGTCTACTGAGGCGTTGCGTGATGCCGGTTATTGATTGGAAGCTTTGGCCGATGAAGATTTCCTCTGAGGCTGTGGTCTCGTTGCTCGCTGGGCGGCGCTGGTAATGGTTCTGAGATGTCGATCGTCTGAGTTTTGGTTGCCTTAAAATGCTCCTCTTCTTCTTTCAAGGCTCAGAGGTGATGATGATTAAGCAGGAGGCTTCTGAACCTTGTTGTCGGTCGGCAATGATGATGGAAACGATATTCCTCTGAGCCGCCGCTTTTGAGTTTGTTGTTCATAAGGGTTTTTCTTCGGATCCCAGTTTATGATGATTTTATATGATTTTTATTTCTGGGCTGGATCTGTGAACTTATTATGGTTGGATTCCGAGTTTGTTGTTGGTTCGTGTTGGATTTGCTATTATTCTGGAAACTCAACGTGATTTATTTGAATGAGTTGGTCAGATTTGATTTCTTTCTGATATTAGATTTGTTTGATTTATTTTTCAGATGAGTCCATTTCGGATTTGGTTTGATATCCATATTTGGTTGTGGATTTGGATTTTCGGTGGGTTTTGAATCTGGATATTTTACTTGATGGAAACAGATTTGGATTTGTCTTGGATATCTGTTAGCGACCTGTTTGGCTCCATAATCCATTTTCGGCAAAAATCACTTTTCGGCATAAAACTTCTTTTTCTCTTCTTCTCGGCTGTCCCGAAAAGAACGGATACTACCGGTTGATGCCGAGGTCGAGGATTGAAGTGGAAGTTGGTTGCGGAAATTGTTGTGCCCTCCCGATACCCGGTGATGAAATTTTTCTGAGGGTGTCTAACAAGACAAATTTTCTAATGTTAACCTTTTTTCTCTGTTTTGTCAGTTTTGTCGTGCAGGTACGGAAGAAAATTGGATACTCGGAGAATTTAATCGGAAAAATCGAGCATGAAGAATCGGCATGAGGACGAAGACCACTTAGGAAAAAAAATTAGGACCTTAGAAGTTAAGATGAAAATGTATATTTCTTATCTTTCTTCTGTAATAGAATATTTATGAATAATAATTCAATAATATCTCTATTCCAACAATCATTTCTTTTTTTAAATAAACATGAATAAAATTCATATTATTTATCCAAATAAAGTCCTTCCGATTACTCCTTTCAATTAAGTTGTCAAACTTGAATGAATCACTTAAATCACAACATGATTAAATCCAAATGATAAATTGCCTCCGAACCAAAATCCAACGATTAAAAATAATCTGATCAATTTTGAATAATAAGCTTAATTTCACCATATAAATCCAACATGAATAAATCCCAAAAGTCAGTCGAATCAAACTTTCCATTCCAACATGTACCGCTCCCCTTAACTGATATAACCTTAATTTTCCCAATATATTCTAAATTAAGTCGCGCATGATGATAGAACCAGAAATGACCTTGAACGAATTAAAATGGAAGGGAAACAGAGAACTCCAATTAACAGTGAAACAGAACTATTCCGCGCCAAAAATTCCTATCATGGTTCTGATGAATAAATCCCCTGCCGTGAACCAACTCGGCCAAAACTTCAATTAAATAAATGTGACAGATCCCGACTTGAGCCAATTTTGTACCGTTTTTCTTTTGAGAAATTTAAGTGGCAGGTAGCAGAAGAAGCAGAAAATAACTGTCTGTTGAAACCAAATTCCCCAGAACGGATTATTGCATCGCCTTGAACCAAACCGATTTGATATCTCAACATAATCACACCAATATGACAAAATAAACGCCTCGGAAATCTACTGATGACAGAGTCTCGGCTCCTGAATAAATTATCGTATCTTGAAAACTCCGATGCCAAAATACACTGTAAATTTCTGTCTATCCTCAAAGAAAATAAAATACTCGGAAGCGGAGGCTCTATTTATTCAATAGATCCTTGACGATACCTTAACTTCATGGACTGTCAGTAAACAACATGTAAATTACCATTTTGCCCTTTAACGACTAAAGCGTTCCAGACGTGGTTCCTGCAAAATGAACAGACTACGCAACCCGTTAATAGCTAGCTGATGCGAAAATGAGACGACACATGACATGACTCGATTAATCTGAGGGTAAAATTTGGGGTATTACACTACCTATCTTATGTATTTAGAATTAGATAGAGTTTCAGTATGTCTGCATAGGCTACTAGTTTCAGTTAGTTACTGTGTTTTAGATTTTACCTCAGTTTCAATGTGTATATTTGTATATCTTAAAAATAGAACAATTTGTGAATTTTTTTTAATATAACCAAGTTTTTCAAATTAATTACCAAACAAAATAATCCAAACATGTCACTATTACTAATAATAATAAATTCGAAATGGTTCTCTGTTTTTTACACCAACATTATATGCACCATTGCTATGTTTATCTCTATTGCTCACTCCACTCTCAAATCTGAATCCATTTCTTGCACTTAACTTGTTTGATATATTGCTTGTTTAGTAAGAAAAATAAAAAGTAAGAGAAACTAAGTAGTTTTTTTTAATGGGCTTTGCTGGTTTTAATTCATAAGAGGGTAGTGGTGGTAGTAGTAGTACTAGTAATCATGGAGGAGAACAAGGTTCATCATGTTCATGGAGGTTTTTAACAAGGAGGAAGAAGGTTAATCCTCATGTTGAGGACGACGACGACGGCGACAACAACAACAGCAACTCTCATGGAGTACAACTTGCTAAGGAGTTAACTATTCCTCATCTCATGGCAGTTGGTAATTCAACTAACTACTTTCAATCGTGTTTTTCATAAGGGTGTTGATTGGATCTGGTCAATTTCAGTTCCAACTTTTGTTTTCACTTTTCATAATTCAGACTCTGATTTTTGTTGTTGTGCTTTTTATGTATATAATGCTAGTTTTTTGTAATTTTTTTTAGTTTAATTTTGATATAATAGTGTGTAAAAGTTGACACTCTCAACAGATCAGAATCAATCACATGTGTGACTTTAGACACATAACATTTTCTTTTATGTTGTTGTTTAACTAGTTTAAGGTTCCTGTCTTGTTTGAATTTTGGTTTTTCAGACCCCTAGAAAAAGGAAGTTACCCTTTGACTTGAGTTTTGTATTTTGTATCATATTTGATTTCAATTATGTTGATGAGTTGTTAATTATTAATTTATGTGATTCAGGGGTAGGTGCAACAATTGGTGCTGGTGTGTATGTTCTAGTAGGAACAGTGGCAAGGGAACATGCTGGGCCTGCTTTACCACTTTCATTTATGATTACTGGACTAGCCGCTGCTCTTTCAGCTCTTTGCTATGCTGAGTTGGCTAGTCGCTTTCCTTCTGCTGGAAGTGCTTATCACTATGCTTACATATGTCTTGGTGAAGGGTATATTTACTCACCTTCTTTTTGAGTACTCACCTTGTTTGAACTAACTGATCATGATTGCACTACCGAAGTCTCGAATGCGTGAATTCTGAATCCTCTAACGACAGGGAATCTGAGTTCACCAGCTTTTTTTCTTCTTTTCATCAGAAACTATGTTATTGGTGAGGATTATTCACCGACTTTTTCAAATGATTAACCTCAGCTAAGGAACATGACTGACCACCTTTGGTTGATACATTAGTTGTTTTCTCTTTCTTAGTTCTTGAAAGTTTTTTTCGGTCCATGCTCTGTTGGACTTTATGAAACTCTAATTATGATGTTGAGTTTGGTTATTGAATGATTGAAATTCTTTTGTAGGCTACATAGCTTATTATATATCAATTGAGAGTTGAAATATTTTATGTACTATCCTTGTAGGCTTGCTTGGTTGATTGGCTAGTCCTTAATTCTGGAATATGTGATTGGCGGAGCTGCTGTTGCTCGTAGCATAACTCCTAATTTGGTATAATGTTATTTTAATTGTTGTATTTAGTTTTTATTTGATATACGTCTATAAAGCATAAACACCGACAATGGACATAACAGTGACACTGTTGTTGATACGTAAACACATGTGTCTGATTTCGATATTGTCTTCCTTAGTAAATTAGCTTGATTGAATTTAAAGTAAATATCATCTGATGCAAAGTGTTGATATGAGATAGACATTTATGTGATTATGATAGGATGCTAAAATGAAACCCTAAAAAAAGTATGAAAAACACTAAAATTAAGAGAAGGATAAAACTAAACTAAATAAAAATAAAGACTTTCATTGATTACTTTAATGATCTTTCATCTCATATGAGAGTACATATATAATATCATTAATAGATAGTAGAATAAAGGCTCAATGACTAAAAGCTCAACTAAACAACAAAAGCCCAACTAATAAAATTTCTACTTCTAAATTTAATAATCAAATTACCTAAAATTAACTCCATGATCCTATCATTACCTACCCCTTCAAAATCAACCTTGTCCTCAAGGTTATAAAACTTCATTGTTGCAATAACTTTCTTGGATCTTCAACTTTAACATCCACCTACAAAGCCTATTTTCATCCAATCCAAGAAAAGAAGAACAAAAGGATCTAACTGAGAACTTTTACTATCATTTGTGATATCTCTCATTGTAATCTCAGTACCATCCTTACCAAATTTCCATTATGTCACAACCTTCCCTGTCTCAATATCAAATTGATGAAGCCTTGTTGAATGCAACTTACTTTCATTCAATGAACTCATCAAAAGCATTTTGGTTTCAGCTTTCATGAGAAGTGTTTTCTTGGAAGTCGATGGCACCAATTTCGAAGTAGATCTTGAACCATCACCAAAATTCACAAATGCACCTTTACCATGAATCTCATTTGTGAAATTCTTCACGACTTGAATATCATTTTCGCCAACAAGAAAACTGTTATCTAGAGCACCCATCGACAGGCTCTGAATCCCACCATTTACCGCCTCCTCAAACTCCTCTTTCAAACATACTAGTGATTCATGGATCACAAATAATTTTCTTGTGTAAAACGCACTATCTAACAACAGTTTAATATAATCTAGTAGGGAAATAACACTATCATGGCTAAAGGCACTTCTCCTTGGATAAATAAGTTGTTTTTAGCCCCTGCTAACTAGTACTATTGACAGCAGCTCAATAAAAACCTTTTGATGAATGAAATTAGAGAAAAATGACTCTTTTGTCAAACCATTACGAGAGAAAACAAAAAACAGTAATCTCTCAAACAGTTCACATGCAAGAACAATACTTTCATGTGTTGTTGTGACATCCTTACAAACACCCTCTTGCAAATCAATGCCAACTTTGGAGTTTCCTGATGCATGTTCTGCATAGAGAGAAGCTATAATCTCCATTGCATTTGGCCCACCATTCTCAGCCAATGTTCTAGGAATCGTCTAAAAACATTCAGCAGATTTGGCTATAGCATACTGACCCAATCCTGTCTCCTTAAAAGAAAATTCTTTCACCCACTTAGCTAACTCAATTCCAGTTGCAGCAGTTTCAGGCACAATACGGCTATCCCTGCACATGGCCTTGTAACTGTTCACTTTATCATCAACTGCTCTTTCAATATCATCAAGTATACTATCAATACTTCCTCTCAAGACAACAATTGAAACAGAATTGCCACCTTCTTCCTTTTTAACAATGGTAACCCTTGCACCACCAATTTCCTCAACTAAAATCGAATCGACATATCTAACATCATCTGGATTTGGTTGAATAAGCTTCGACATAGCAACAACACCGGTTGTATGGAAAAATCGATGCAGTTTAAACTTAGAACTAATTTTCAGAACCATAAGCTTATAACACTCACAAAAATGTAAAGCCAACTCTCCTACTTCCTTGATGAGCTCCTCAACTTTATCCTCTTTAGTTTTTGAAGAATTCTCTAGCTGCTTAGCTGAACGTATGAGAACAGTTCCCTGATTTTTAGTTATAGATGTATCAACCCCACCTGAAAACACAACAACCTTTGCCTTTTCCATTCTCTTTATACTACCAACAATATCATTTCTCAGAACCATTCGCCGAACAACTGTACTGTTACGTAGCCCTCCTCCCAAGAGTTTTGCAACATGAACATTGTCCATATTAAAGTTTACATAATTTTTTGGACACACTTGAATACATGCACCAGCAACAAGGGAGCATATAGTATCTTCTTGACCGAATTGCTTGCTGAAAACAACTGCTTTTATTCGAGAAACAACTTGCTCCTTATCAAATACATTCATATTATCTGAACCTTCCTCAACAAGTTTGTCCAATGTTTCAACAGTCTTATTAATAGCTTTGGTATATCCATTCATAATCTTACTAGGATGCAAACCCCTCCTAATAAGCTCTTCAGCACTATGAAGCAACTCGCTTGCAAAAGAAATAGTCAAATTAGCAATACCCATATGGCGCATTTGCTTATCTATAGCAAGAACATCACCATAGGCATAACTTCTACTTGTTAGCAAGAATCGATCTTCAATTCGCTTAGTCAAACCAAGCATGTTCAACGTTTCCACCATGTTATTCTTAATGGTCTTAATGGGTGTCAGAGGTATTTTAACAAATAACTTGTGAGCAAAAACAGAAATGTATACTTTGGAAGGAGGTTGTGGAGGAATGATGAAATTGTTGATGTCGAAATTAGGATTCGATGGCTTTGGGAACGGAGGACTCAGAGCATGATTGTTTACCTTGATGTCTTTCATCGCAATGACGCTGCTATGTTGTTCCTGACTAATGGTGCTCGCAATTCCAAGTGGTACAACCTCCACTTCTGCCATCGATGGTAAAGAGTGCTCCAAAAGTGTCTCGAGCAAAAATTTGGTATACATGGATCATTGAAGTTGTTGAAATGGAATCTTTCGTATGCGAGAGTTGAAGTTCCTGGTGTGGCACTTCTTCATCAACTGTCGGTATACAAGAATTATTGAAGTTATGAAATGGTTTGTGTAATGATTCAGTTGTATTGCTAAAGTGAGAAGAAACATTGTGTGAACCATTTGAGATGAAAGGAAATTCATCTTTTGGTTGTTTTATTTGCCTTCCATACAGATCTGGATCTGATACTTTTTCCGCCTAAGAAAGTTGTCATGCTTTAAGAGAGTAACCAAAATTTTGAATCAGTTCCTTCAACTCTTCTCTATATTCATTTTTAATTTTATGAGTTTCAATCAAATATTGTTTTATAGTTTCTAGTTGTGAATAGAAATCTTGAGATTGAGGTTGGTAGCTATGGTAACTTGAATGTTCATGGAAGGTGGAAGATGATTGTTGAGGTGAAGAAGAAATTATGTGTTGTTGTTGTTGATATGGAATATATGGAGTGTATGGGGTGTAGGAACAATAATATGGATATGCCATGGAAGTAAGGATTGAAGTTCAAGATGAAAGCACCAATTGATAGGATGCTAAAATGAAAGCCTAAAAAAAGTATGAAAAACACTAAATTAAGAGAAGGATAAATCTAAACTAAATAAAAATAAAGACTTTCATTGATTTCTTTGATGATCTTTCATCTCATATGAGAGTACATATATAATATCACTAATAGATAGTAGAATAAAGACCCAATGACTAAAAGTTCAACTAAACAACAAAAGGCCAACTAATAAAATTTCTACTTCTAAATTTAATAATCAAATTACCTAAAATTAACTCCATGATCCTATCATATTAGGTTGCACTTATTGGCGGTGTTGACAACTTGCCAGCATTGTTATCCTATCAACATATTCCTGGGATTGATATTGTTGTAGAACCACATGTGGTAACTACGATATTCATTGTTACTTGGATCCTCTGTACTGGGATCAAAGAGGTAAGAGATAGAGTTTATTTTTATTTAACGTTGATGTAATTTATTTTAAGTCTTGCCAGCCCTCATGTGTGGTTTAGGCCTTCCTTCTAAAATTCGCGTCAATGTTCCGACAACTTTTCTGATTGTGTAGAGTACAGTGGTGCAAAGTATATTCACAATAGTGAATATATGTGCTTTGATGTTTGTCATAGTAGTTGGCGATTATTTAGGATTCAATTCTGGATGGGTTGAATATGGTCTCCCAACAGGGTAACTTACATTTTTCTTTTGTACTATCCTTATTCTATTTATATATATTTGTCTCTTATATTACTTTTAATAGTAGGTATTTTCCATTTAGGATAGATGGAATGGTTGCTGGTTTTGCAACAGCTTTTTTTGCATACATAGGTTTTGATGCAGTTGCCAGCACTGCTGAAGAGGTACACATTATAATTATACATCATGTTTCATGTAACATGCAAAATATTTTTTTTTGTCCCTTCACTATACTTTGAAGTTCATTTTGATCCTTAATTTTAAAAATATCCATATTAGTCCCTTAACTCTTCAAAATGTTTATATTAGTCCTTTTTATTCTATTAGCAACTGAAAAATTCAAAAATCCGTCGCTAAATTCGTCGTTAATTAGACAAAAATGACTAACTTCGAATGTTTTGAAGAGTTAAGGGACCAATATGAACCTTTTTAAAGTTAAAGGACCAAAATTAACCCCGAGGTATAGTTAAGGAACCAAAAAGAGTATTTTGTCTATCTTTTGAGTCAAATTGCAGTAAAAAAACTACTGATGCGAAAATTTTCAATCATTTCAAATATCTTTCGCCCTCTTAATATTATTGTAGTTAAATACGAATAAATGTTTTCAAAACCGGACTGGAGATTGAACTAGTGAGACATCTAGTTCATGGTTCAGTTGATTGAACCGCGGTTAAACCGGATGTCTAATAAATATGTTGTGAATAGAATGTCTTGAAACAAAATATAAACAGTTTCTTTATAGGCAATAAACACACAAGGGTAAGGGTTAACATAGAAAACGAGCACGAAGAATAAGAAGAAACAACAAGGATTGGTTATAAACTATTATTCTTTCCTTTCTCTATCAAACAAGATTACAAGTATACAAGAATAACAAAATAACCTCTCTCTCTTGAATTAGAATTTTATCTTCCTATTTTTCTTTATACAAGATGAGAGACTAGCATGCTATTTATAAGAAAACTAACCCACTAACCTAATGGACTTTTTAACAATTACCCATTACAGGCTAACTTAAACAATTGGGCTTTAAAGCAAAGCCCAATTCAACATGCTAACAAACCTAGCAATATTGACTAATGCATGTTAGAACAAACTTCGACTACAACACACATTACTCGCGAACAGACTTCGACCATACTAGAGTTCGATTCAATATCTCACAAAATAAATAAATAAATATTTAAAAAAATGAACCGGTTAAAAAAAGGTGGTTCAATCCAGTTCGATCTGATTCTAAGATGCTAAGAACGAATAGTGGTTGAACCAATAACTAGTTTGTTCTTGGTTCAACCAGTTGAACCAGCCAACCCAGTTTTAAAATCAATGATACAGATTATGCATTCGTAAAGAGATTGCAGCCACATCTAAAACCTTGACGTCGCGACCGTGATCGCAATTGCATTATTTTAAAACATTAGGAGTAACTTTAAACAAACTTTCTAATATTGTTTTACTTTGATAAACAGGTGAAAAACCCTCAAAGGGATTTACCACTAGGAATTGCTGGTTCATTGTCTATGTGTTGTGGATTGTGTATGATAGTATCCATTGTTGTTGTTGGTTTAGTACCTTACTATGATATCAATCCTGACGCCCCTATATCCTCTGCATTTGCTGACAATGGATTGCAATGGGCAGCGTAATTTGTATACATTTGCAACTCAATTCTGATTTTTCAAATAGCCAAACAAATATGCAATTGTTTTTAAATTCATTTTTCTTGATTGTGATTTCAGATACATTATAAATGCTGGGGCTATTACAGCGTTGTGTTCATCATTGCTGGGTGGAATGTGTTGGAAATTCACCTCACACCTTATGAAGAATTCCCTTCAATCTTGATCTCAAGATTGATGAACAAACCCACTATATGATAATGATGGTAATAACAAGTAATTATTAAGAACAACAAAAGAGAAGAAGAATAACAAACAAGAAAGAGAAGAATGAGAGAAGAAGTATTTGGAGAGAATGTGTTACCCACAACTATGGGATTTCTTATTGAACTTTCACTTACTAACTGCAACTGTGAAATCTGTTCTGTTGTGATGTAGAATACAAAGCAAGGCACCCTATTTATAGTTTTAGGTTTACACTAGCCCAAAACATAAAAGGCCCAAAATATTCTAAATCAAATCTAATCATATGATATCAAATCTAATCATATGATATCTAATCATATCATATCAAATTAATCATATGATATCAAATCTAATCATATGATATCAAATCTAATCATATGATATCAAATTAAATCTGTTTACACAATGAATTATATTTAACACACCATATAATTCATTGTGTCTAAACTGTCTACATTCATCATGGCCCTTAGTCTTCTGAAGGCTTCGACCTGCACTCCCTTCGTCATGATATCTGTAATCTGATTCTCAGTTCTGCAGTGTTCCAACTTCATCTTCCCTTCTGCTAACCTCTCTCGGAGATAATGGAACCTCATTTCAATGTGCTTGCTTCGAACATGAGCTATTGGATTCTTTGCCAAGTTGATAGCTGACATGCTGTCTATCTTCATAGTAATTGCTCCATGGTTCTTCCCTGTGATTTCTTCGACCAAGTTCACCATCCAAGTTGCTTGACATACATAAAGGGAAGCAGCTATATATTCTGCTTCGCATGATGATAATGCCACCACTGGTTCCTTTCTCGAATTCCAAGCAACTGGTGCACCACCTAACATAAACACATATCCAGCTGTGGATTTTCGATCCTCAGCATCACTACACCAACTGGAGTCTGTGTATCCCACTAACATGCATTCTTTTCCTTCATCAGCTGCTGGAAACAAAATGCCATAGTCGAGAGTTCCTTTCAGATACCTCAGTATCCTCTTCGCCGCTGCTAGGTGTGATACCTTTGGTTTTTGCATGAATCTACTTATCATACCAACAATGTATGCTAAGTCAGGCCTTGTGTGGCAAAGGTATCTAAGTGACCCAATAAGTCTTCTGTATTGGGTTGGGTTGACATCATCTTCATCTGAATCCTTCGACAGTTGAAATCTGGGCTTAGCTGGAGTCGAAGTTTGGTTGCAATCTTGCATCTCAAATCTCTTGAGTATCTCGCCTGCATATCTTCTTTGGTGCATCATCAAACCTCTACTTGTCTTATAGAATTCGATGCCAAGGAAATATGAGAGATTTCCCAAGTCTGAGATTTCAAACTCCTTACTCAGGTCATGTTTGAAATCTTCGATCTCCTTCTTGGAACTCCCTGTTATCAACAAATCATCAACATAGAGACATAGTATAAGCAATTCGCCATTGCTTCTTCTTACATATACTTCATGCTCAGTTGTACACTTCACAAATTCCTTCTCCCTTAAGAAGCTGACAATTTTCTTATTCCAAGCTCTTGGAGCTTGCTTAAGTCCATACAGGGCTTTATGAAGCCTGTACACCTTTCTTTCTTCGCCTTGTTTCACAAACCCAGCTGGTTGTGCAACATAAACTTCTTCTTCTAAGGGGCCATTAAGGAATGCACACTTCACGTCCATCTGACATGTGTGCCAGTTGTTCATATTTGCTAGACCAACAACCAACCTGATTGTTTCGATTCTAGCAACAGGTGCGAATACTTCATCAAAGTCGATTCCTTCCTTCTGAAGAAATCCTTTCGCCACAAGTCTCACTTTGTGTCGAGTTACTTCTCCTTTAGGATTTACCTTCACCTTGTAAACCCACC